TTTGTAAATTTGTATGAAATTGCATTCTCAATAAATTATGGGAGTAGAATTTAAAGATGAACTGAAAAAAAAACCACATCTAACCATTCTCCATATCTAGCTCCTAGGGAGATTTTTAGGAGCTTTTAAATATAAAGAGAGAGAAAGAACTCCTCGAGACTCCTTGTAATTAAATACTTCTATATTTAATATTATTTTAAGAATTTATTTAATACCAACTAATTTTAATTATTGCTTTTGTATCTACACTTTATGGCATGTACACATATGATATGAAATTGTGATATAAAAATGTGGTAACACTTTTATGCCATGTGCTTTGGGGAAAAAACCAGTGAATTTGGGCCAGCTAGCTGTACAAATTTTGGTGATTTCTTTTCAAGCTCATATTGAGGCACAAAACAAGGACTGAATCAAAGGGTTCTCAACCAACTGTGAAAAACAAAAAGCTTGGGGAAAAGAAACAAAAGCAAATGCTTAGAATTGGCAAAGGAAATGGGGGAAGTAAATATTAGCTAGAAAAAAGGATGTTCTTTTTTTGTTCCCCCTTTGTTTTAATTTCTTTTTCACTTATTCTAGTTATATTCAGTCTCAGTTGGGCCTCTGCTTCTGTTCATAGAGGAGGAGAAAATGTGATGTAAATCAAATTTTTAAGCAATGACTAGTAGATGAACATGTATGGAACCCTTCCTCTTTCTCTCTGTTTGTTTTGTTTGTCTGTGTATAAAGCTTTCAACTTTCACAGGCATTCCCATTGTTGGTTCTCAGAAATTTGGTTAATTAATTTACTCTGTCTTTAAGGTACAATGGCAAAAAGAATCAGTGTTGGGGGGGTTGGATGGCCTCAGCATGTTTGCCTGTTTCTTTATATGCCAGCGGTCATGAAAGTTTGTTTCCCTCTTTTCGGCCAGGTATGCCGATGGAAGGAGTTTTTGGTCCTTCTTCTCTTGAGATGCGTAGGTTTGCTCGTATTGAAACAAAATCAAAAGCATACCAATTTCTTCAGGTGTTAGTTCTTCACCCTCTGATGCTTCACCCTCAAATTCTTCCCCCTCAAATTCTTCGCCCTCTGATTCTTCACCCTCTGATTCCTCACCCTTTGATTCTTCAGCCTTTCTCCCTGTTTCCATGCAATTACATTGTTAAATACAAAAAGAAAAAAGAAAACAAACAGGGTAATGTCAAAGAACTTAGAAGGAAACAATGGTTATACATCATGCAAACACCAAAACAACTTGGCTGGAAAAATCATCTTTTTAACATATATACAAGATCTTATGTCATAAAATAGAGAAGCTGCATGCATTTTTTTCCTTTATTGTCTCTAAAATCAAGAGCATACCAATAGGATTAGGAAAGAGGAGGCTATCTATTTTTCTTCTTCTAACTTGTAGTTTTGACTATCGCTTATATTCACACACAAAAAATATCGAAAGCATACCAGTAGGACTAGGAGGCCCCGGTGTAGAATAAGAAAAGTCTTAATTTCATTTCTTTGTTCTTCATCCATTAGTTCTTCATCTTCATCCATTAGTTCTTCATCTTCATCAATTAGTTCTGTAGTCTTTGGTTCTTTAACCATGATATCTGTTTGCATGCAATTACATTATTAATTAAAAAAAAGAAGAAGGAAGTGTGGTGATGATATCAAAGAAGTTAGAAGGAATTATCAACAAATCATTATATATCGGCTATCCATCATGTGCACACCAAAATAACTTGGCTGGAGAAATCATTTTCAAAAACTGATTCAAAATTTTGGCATAATATACATCCTCGAATTTCACCAACAAAAATAAAATAAAAACAACAGTCCAACAACTTCAATTACCTCCCATAAAATAAAAGAGACGCTCACACAATTTTTTTTGGGGAGAAATACACTCAATTAACCAAATGGAGCAATGAACTCGTAAATGATTTTTCTCTAAAAGTATTTCCAAATCAAATAGAACAATATGACTGACTGGAGGCAAGGGCCTTATTAAGAATCAAAGAAACAGAAATTAGCCAGGCAAATAAACACCCTTTAAGAATCAAAACATTAAATTACAAATGCCTTAATATATCTTTTTTCCTTCATCAAAATCAAAATCACATTTCGCAAAAATTGAGTGCTTTCTCTCTTGTTCAACTTTTCTACTGTGTATTCTATTCAAAAGCATCTTTATTGCATTCACTTGGGCAACCTTTCATTAAAGTTTCTATGTGACGGAAACCACGAGCCCTCCCTTCGAAGTAGATTTGTGGTAAATGCGGCCAGTTAGAATACTTCTGTATCCCCTCCATGACTTCATTGTCCGTAAGAAGATCAAAACTTCCAAATTCAACCTCATAATACTTCAAAAGAGTAACAGCCATTCTGCTAAATTCACATTTGGGCTCCTCAGGGGTTCCTTTCATGAAAAGCATGACTCGATTAGAGTCAATTAGCTTTTGCAGCCGTCTTCTTTGGTGATTTTGAGTCCCAAACGAAGGACATTAATGTGGTTTTTTCATGTAGAGGAAAAGGATAGTAACCTAACCGTCATGCCTTATCTCAGTAACCGTCCCTCCTTCCTTCCTGGTCTCTCGTTCAGGATCAGGAACATGGTTTTTAACAATTATTTTGTGTTCTAATTTGTCTTTAACCATTGGTTTTTTTCTTCTTTTTTTATTAGAAGTTTGCTTCTCTTTATCATATATTTTGGAATTGTTTTTCTTTTTTTAAATTTCATATGACTAGCCTCCATTCCATCATGTGTGACTTGCAATTTTTCAAATTTATTTTGGAAATTGTATTTTTCTAGATGACCGTCTAAAATGTTTTTCTTTTATCATCCGTATATGCATATCAAGGAAAAGAATATAGTGATGATGTCAAAAAAGTTAAAAGGAATAATCAAATTATATATCGGATATCCATCATGTGCACACCAAAATAACTTGGCTAGAGAAATCATTGACCATTTTAGTTGACCACCTTATGTGGCAATTGATGTGTCATGCCAAGTCAATTAATGAATATTGTTATGTCAATTAAAAAATAAATTAAAAAACCCTAGCGTTTCTTGTAAGTGGCCTCATGGCAACATTCATTAATTCACATGGCATGACACATCAGTTGCCACATAAGGTGGTCAACTATGGTGGTCAATGTTGTTTTTCTAAATAGCATTACTCTTTTAAAAAACTGATTCAAAATTTTGGCATAATATACATTCTCGAATTTCCGCCAACAAAAATAAAATAAAAACAACACTCCAACAACTTCAATTACCTCCCAGAAAATTAAAGAGAAAACTTGCAGCTTAATCTAATTATTTAAAAAGTAAATAATTAGTTTGTTAAATCTTAGCCATTGATTGTAGCCTAATCTAATGGTTGAAAACTTATGTCAAATTTGTAATGCCACCGTTCCGCCCCATATAGATATATATGGGGTCATTCTCCATTATGGAGTTGAAGTATGTGAATCCATTATGGATTTGTGTTTTGACTGTCGGATGTGCCCCATTTGCCGTTTGTTTAATATCTCACCCTCTCTTTTATTCTTTCCATTTGTTTAATGAATAATGCAACTCTTACCACATTTGTATACCACATTCTTATACCATCTTATAGCTGCCACTTCCCTGGTTTGGAAACAGATGAAAAACAGTTTTCATGTAAAAATACATTCAGGGATATTTCCTTATAACGAGTCTAGGGGAAAATTTTGCAATATGGATTCAGCATTCAGCAAGTCACATGCATTCAAAAGTGAATAATATCTTACCATGAACGTGGCCTGGTCTTGAGATACGTCGAATAAGAACGTACCACCTTCAACTCCCAAGTCGGTTTAGTCAAACAATATGGGTAGAATATTTTCAGATATATTTCATTCTCCGAAAGGAGGTATTTATAATACAGGTTACAAACCCTAGTAGGGTTTAATTAGGAAATAAGTGGAATCCTAATTACGTAATATCTATACAAAAGGAAAAATAAATAAAACCCAAATAGAATAGGATATGCTTTACTCGCCAACACTCCCCCTCAAGTTGGAGCAAAGACGTCATGCATGCCCAACTTGTCAAGCGAGTTGAGAAAGATACTTGTAGAAATAGCTTTCGTAAGAACATCAGCTAACTGATACTCTGAACGGATGAAGGGGAAGGACACAATCTCCGCATCCAACTTTTCTTTAATGAAATTTCGATCAACTTCCACATGCTTTGTACGGTCATGTTGTACAGGATTATGAGCAATTGCAATCGCAGCCGTATTGTCACAATATAAATCCATGGGTTTATTAGGCCCAAAACCAAGGTCTTTCAACAATCTTCTCAACCATAGTAACTCAGATACACCATGGGCCATTCCCCGATACTCGGCCTCAGCACTAGATCTAGACACCACCTTTTGTTTCTTGCTCCTCTACGTAACAAGATTGCCACCCACAAACATAAAATACCCAGATGTCGAACGCCTATCTGTGGCTGAACCTGCTCAATCAGCATCTGTATACCCTTCTACATTTGTATGGCCATACTTGGAGAAAATTAACCCCTTGCCAGGAGTTACTTTCAGATACCTTAAAATACGAGTCACAGCCCCCATATGATCTACACTAGGAGAGTGCATAAACTGACTCACTATATTTACAGCATACGCAATGTCCGGACGGGTATGAGCTAAATAAATCAATTTCCCCACAAGTCGTTGATAACGTTCTTTATCAGTTGGAACTTGATCGGGATATATCCCCAACTTATGATTCTGCTCACTAGGGGTATCAATCGGTTTACAATCCAACATTCCAGTTTCTGCAAGTAAATCCAAAACATACTTTCTTTGGGATAGAAAAATACCATGTTTAGATCTGGCAACTTCAATCCCAAGAAAATACTTTAAATCACCCAATGATTTCATCTCGAACTCAGAAGCCAGATACTTCTAAAGACTCTGTATCTCTACATGATCATCTCCAGTCACAATCATATCATCAACATAAATAATTAAAGCCGTCAATTTACCTTTATGACGCTTCAGAAACAAAGTATGATCAGAGTTACTTTGCACATATCCAAATTTCTTCATAGATGCAGCAAATCTTCCAAACCACGTTCTTGGAGACTGCTTTAATCCATACACGGATTTCCGTAGCTTGCACACCACACCCTGGTAATCCAAATCGATGGATGATAGACTTCTCAATAAACTCTATCACCTCAGCTTGGGTAACTTGCTTGAGTGGTACAGCCTCTACCCATTTTGTAAAGAAGTTCGTGGCCACTAAAATGAACTTGTGACCCTTAGATGATTTCGGGTGGATTTGGCCAATCACATCCATCGCCCAACCCTTGAAAGGCCAAGACTTCACAATAGGATTCATGGGTCCGGCCGGAACATGTTGAACTTGACCATGCCTTTGACAACCTTGACATCCTTTGGCGTAATCAATGCAATCCTTCAGGATGGTTGGCCAATAATACCCATGCCCCCTTAGCAACCATCTCATCTTGATGCCTGCTTGATGAGCTCCGCATATTCCTTCATGAACATCAGTCATAACCACCATCTGATCAATCTTTCCCAAACATTTCATGAGTAAGTCGTCAGAGCCAATACGAAAAAGTTCCTCATCCCTGAGCACATAACTTATGGCCCTTTGTCGAACCTGCCGGCAATGCGGGCCACTTGGACATTTCAGATACTCCATGATATCGTGTCTCCAGTCATCTGGAGCTACAGTCAATGCCATGACCTCCATTGGTATTCCTCTTTCAAAAACTGAGGGGAACGATCATTTTTCAACTTTGAACAACTCCTCAGAAAGCCCTTCAGAGATCTGAACTCCGGAGGCCAATTGGGCCATTGCATTGGCCTGTGAGTTGTGCTCCCTTGGTAGGTGAGTGAGTCTCACTTCATCAAAACCTTCTATTAGTTGGCTAGCCAAGGCATGATAGCCAAGCAATGATTGGCTGGTTACCTTATAGTCGCCGGATAGTTGTTTTAGAACTAACATCGAATCCCCCATGATTGACACATTATTTATTCCAAGTTCTCTCAAAATCTCCAACCCAATGATCAAGGCCTCATATTCGGCCTGATTGTTGGTACAATCAAAGTCTAATTGAAATGAATAACGAGTTCGGAATCCTTGGGGTGATTCAATGATGACACCTACTCCCCCCATATTTGATGTTCGAGATCCGTCCAAATAGAGACGCCATGGGAATAAACTTATCATGTCGACTTTGAAGAAGTCCATATCTTCTATTTCAACACAAGGGTGAGAGGCCAAGAAATCAGCCAAGGCTTGCCCCTTGAGGGCCTGCTGAGGCACGTATCGGAAGGTGAATTCTGCCAATGCCATCGTCCATTTTCCAATCCGCCCTATAATGATTGGTCGAGTGAGCATGTACTTGATCAAATCAGTCTTAGCGATTATATGCACCATGGAAGGCAACATATAGTGCCTTAACTTGGTTGCGGTGAAGTATAAGGCTAAACAAAGTTTCTCCACCGGTGAATACTTTCTCTCGGTGGCCGTTAGAATTCGGCTTAGGTAGTTTTTTCTCATCGTTGTCTTGGGCCAAAAGACTTCCGATGGAATTTTCTGCGGCCGAAATATATAACTTCAAAGTTCGGCCTCGCTTCTGCGGGATTAGCACCGGTGGCTTGGTTAAATACTCTTTGATGGAATCAAATGCCTTTTGGTGAACTTCTTCCCATCGAAATTTCTCCTCATCCTTGAGTTTAAGCAAAGATGAAAAAGGCTCGACTTTCCCGGCGGAGTTAGCTATAAACCTCCGAAGGAAGTTTATTTGGCCTAGCAAGCTCTGCAATCCTTTCTTGTTTTTCGGGGGTGGCGCCTCAATGATGGCCTTAGCCTTATTTTTATCAATTTCGATCCCCCTTTGATGTACCAAAAATCCCAGGAAATTTCCGGCGGAAACCCCAAAGGCACATTTCTTTGGGTTCATCTTCAATTGATGTTTTCGCATTCTCTCAAAGGCTAACCGAAGGTCATTCAAATGGCCTGGTCTCGACTCCGACTTCACAACCACATCATCGATATAAACTTCTAAGCTTCGACCGATCATGTCGTGGAAGATGGCATTCATCGCCCGTTGATATGTGGCTCCGGCATTCTTTAGGCCGAAAGGCATCACGACATACTCAAAGGTTCCAATGGAACCAGGACATCTAAAGGCTGTCTTGTGAATGTCTTCTTCGGCTATGAAAATTTGGTTATAGCCAGAGTGTCCATCCATGAAGGATAAAATCTCGTGCTTGGCCGCCCCATCAACTAAGAGGTCTGCCATTGGCATGGGATATTCATCTTTGGGAGTTGCGAGATTAAGGTTACGAAAATCAACACAAATTCTTAT